ATTCCTGAGCTTTGTACTGGAAATAGTAGGAGACGTTGTGAGCTTCAGTGAGCTTGTAAAATTATTTGTGATTAGACACTTCTTTTTATTTTAGACGCTTAATTGAACATACTGGACACTTCAAGTATTATTGCTAGTTGTATACTCAGAAGGAAAGTTCTAGAACTGCTGCTTCACAGCACTGCACAAAAATTACCTCTTGCAGTGCATGATTTCAACAGCACTTGCAGTCACTCCTTAGAGTTTTTCTTCAGAATCTGGATTACTCATTGTCTAAATAGCTGAACTTTCATCTCTATAAATAAGATACTACAGCTTTGCACAATTCATTTAAAATGCTGACAAATAAGGAGTCTCACTTGATTCTGAGTAGTTTTATTGTTCATTTTGATTTACTGTAGCAAATGTATTGGTTGAAGATGTAACACAGAACTTGCATTTTTAGTAATAGAAGACTTCAGAATTAAGCAGAGTCCATAGCATTTTGCCTTTGTTTTTAAGCAAAAAGTTTTTCTAGTATCTTTGGAGAAATAATGTACACTTACATAAAAAAGGGTCTGTGTTTCCATTTTGATCATAAATCTTTTAGAAAGACAAGAAGTAAATAGTGCCAGAACAGACCTCTGATCTTTCTCCTTGCATCAGGTACCTTCTAATACATTTGTCTTTGGGCCATCTTTCAAGTGCATCCTTTGCAGTTCATCCAGTTAGGTAGATGAGGACCAGCCCTCATTGCCTGTGCTTTGGTTATCTTCTTCACTGAGAATGACAACTGCTCTTGTTCTTATCTTCTTGCTTATGTCTCATATTACTGTGCTGTAGTTTCCCAAAATGTTTCCACAAATAATATGTGAATTGTGCTACTGCTGCTGTGAGCAAGTTCTCTCTCCACAAAGGAGTCAGTTGAAATGTCTGGTGCTTGATTTTCCACATGCCTGTGTACAAATGCAAGTGCTCTGTCCCTTTCCCCCAAGGTTCATATTGCTGAAGAAACTACCTCTCTCATGCAACGTTTGATCATTTTCTCCTTATTAAAAAACCTCATTGAAACAAACTTTTTCTATAAAGCCTCTCATTGATAAGGCAATTCTGTTCATCATCATTTTGTGCTGGATAAAACTGTCAATCAGAAAGCTATCGGATTATAGTTAACACAGAGCCGCCTTCGCTATGTTTCAAGGCCTTTTCTATTTTATTCACACTGTGYTACTTCTGTAACATTTGATTCTTGGAGTTTTTCACCTTTATTCATTCCTTGGGACGCAGATGTTGCAGCCTGGGAGGTGAGTATCAGTATTCCCGCTGCAGGAACGGAAACATCTGGCGTGTGGAAAGGGCTTCATTGCCCTGGGCTCGCTTCATTTGCTCAGTGTCACTGGGCAGTGCATGCGTGTGGCATGTCACAGCCTCAAGCGCAGGGAGGAGTCGTGTGGGAGAGGGACCTGAGCTAAGAAAAGTTTGGGTTATTGAAAACTAGCTGAAAAAACGTGATTGACAAAAGCCTATTGGAAAAAAGATCTTGAAGCCTCAGAGAGGGATGCGCACAGGCAAAGGCCTTCATCTTCTGCCRAGATATGGATGCACACTGGCAGCCGATGCTGTTATCCTCGTGTCTCGGGAAAGTATTTCACAAAGGTGTTGTGAAACTTGGATGAAATTAGAGTAGATTTGAAYATTTGGGTAAATTGGGATGCTGTTGGTAGTTCATGAATTTGTTTGAGAAATTTTAGATCGTAGCTGATACTTTTTCTCAGAARAGTGAACTGGAAATAATTCATCAAATGCCACAGGCAATTTCTGAAGCAGGGAATAACCCCCACTGAATTATTATTTTTATTACTTATTCAATTTTTCTTGGATGGTAGCTCTAGGCTATAGCAAGACTTCAGTATGAATTCTGCCATTTCCAAGTAAAAATCAGTACATCTGCTGTACCCTACAAACGCCGCATACTGTGATTTCCCACTCATCTGTATTATATTTTATTTAGATAGATGAACGGTATGTAGACCCCTAGTGACCTCCAGCTTCCATAAATTCCTCAAGATTTTTGAGCTGATTAGGGTGGAAATAGTGCTTTAGACACAAGGTTGTACCATAAGATTATAAATTCGTAGGTGCCTACGTGTGAGTTTTCCAGTGTGTGTGAAAGACAAGATTTCACTCGCCTTTGCCTTAAGTGAGACTTGCTGCACTTGAAAATCCTAATATTTAGCATCTGATCCTGATACCAGAAGATACCTTATGTTCAAAATGATTAAACTAGATCCTCGCTCACATACTTCGTGACCTGTGATTTTTGAATTGTTAGTTATACAGCAATAAATGGAGATCAGTACCATCCAGCCTGTGATTGGATTATAAGAATCAAACTTAGTGAATAATTAAAAAAAAAAAAAAGACACATTTTTAAGGCATTTTACGTCAGTCTTGATGCTTGATGGTTTAGAATATCCAATTTGTAATCAAGAGCTTTCTGAGTCAGTGGTCGTCATAAAGGTTGTGTAATACTCTTCTCTTTGTGTGTTAGAGATATTGAAAAGAAGGTATCTTTCAGTGTTTAAGGTAGGTTAATTTTTTTAACCGCTATTCAGTAGTTGATGAGTTAGAATTTCATTTGGAAAATTTCCATTCGAACTTTGGCTCTTGAGCGTTCAAAGCTAACAATCAGCAGGCTTTCTTTGTTCTTTTCTCTTGAATCTTGCAGTTAACATCTTCACAACTTGACCATCTGAGYGTGAGCTCCTGGATCGCAGTTTAGAGCCCTTGCGGGAGAATTTGCAAGAATATSTGTTTTATCCTTGCAGCAGTAAATATGCACATATTTTTCCAGATTGGCCAACTCATCATACAGACAGATATTTAAATGAAGTTATACAACCTTCCAGTCCACATGACAATTTTGCTAGCACTGGTGTGAATTCTTGCAAGGTTTGCACCCACTTATGGAACAGCTTTGTTTTAAAGGCTAAGCAAACCAGAAAGACAATTATTGATGCATAATTTTTTATTTGCTTTCATTATTTAAAATAAATTTATAAAAATGCCAGGTTAAAGCCTGTTTTGTCACCTTTATGTGACCTGGTGTTCAATGAAATATATATATATTAGCACCAAAATATCCTTTCCACTCTTTCTCCATTGAGAAACATTTCCTCATACTACTTGTGATAGAACCAATAAATCTCTCACATATTGGCAGAGGAGTGGCATGTAACTCTGTTCTGCATTTAATCTTTGGGTGTTCAAATCAAAACAATTGCCCAAATAGTCACTCTACTGTCTCTCCTTGTGACTCTTTCTCTGACACTTGAAGTATTGTGGATGCCAGTCCAACTGACATCCAAATGTCCAATGACCAATGAATTGCCATCATTGGCCTCTTATTTTCTTTTACTGTTTAAGAAACACGACTTTGCTCTAGGAAAAAAAGGTAAAAAAATGTCGTCCCGAATAAGTCGTCTCCTTCAGGCTGCCGTCCAGCGAGCTCCTTGGTCCTTGTGAGCCCATGGGGCCCCAGCCTGGGTCGATGCAGGGGCCTCTTTTCTTCCCGGGTCCAGGGCTYGCATTTGCTCAGGGTCCTGTGGCAGCCCTGCTCTCAGGGGTAGCAGCTCATTGATTACTCAGTCATCTCTTCCAGGTCATTTATAAAATTCTCAATAGGTTCTTAATTTCAAAAATACAAAAATATTTTAATAAAGTACAGAAACCTGAAAAAGCCATTGTAATCTCTTTTCCTTACCCTTTAAGTTATATTGCAGTTTGTTGTGTTATCTATTCTGTAATACAGTATCTGATTTATTCAGAGCTGAGAACATGCAGACTTTCAGAACTTTGCAAAATTTGCTTTTTCCTGTCATGTAAGCAGTGCATCCTATTGAGCAAATGGAGACTGGCCCACAAAGATGACATTAGTTTATAGGCTGCTGCCAAAGGGAGCTGATAAGATCCCTTCAGCAGATCAAACCATGTAGGACTGTACGCAGTGCTTCRTTTTAATTTTTCAGGATGTGACAGGGAGCTGCGAAATCACTTTTCTAGGGGAGGAAAAAATGCATTAGCTTAGCTGAAATATTTAAACACTGTTAATTTCCAAATCGCTGCCTGCGCTCGGCGCTGAGAAGGTGGTGGCGAGCGGGCGAGCGCCTGTTTAGCCAAGCCCCCCGAGCTGGTGCTGGCGCTGCCCGCCCGGCGCGCTCGTCTCGCCACTGAGTCACCRAGCGCCCCGTATTGTGTAACTTGCCTTCTGCGGAGGCTTGTTATATTAGAAAAATTGTTCCAAAGAAAGCAACAATTATGACATAAGCACATCTGGCTCTTGCAAATTATTCTTTATTAAGCTTTCATTTAATTACATGTGCTGAAAGGTCTGCTTTTGATTACTGTAATTTTTTTTATTTGTCCATCTGAATGATAGTAATGTTTGAAATTACATACAAACCACCTGGCTTTTTTCTCACTAATAAGGCAAAGTTTGTATAGATTTATGTGCAGAAGAGGGATTAGGATCTTCCCTGTTTATGGCAGAGAATTATTGATGATGCTAATTCAAGGTGAGGGTTTACATTTGGTCACTGGAAGGAAATTAAACTTCTTTTTGTTTTCAGCAAATACTTCAGATTACATTATAACATGCGTATCTTATGTTTCAGGTAAACTTTTTGAAAAGTTGGATKCATATAGGTGTATTTGTATTTTCATCGCTATTTACCGAAGTTTGTTAGATGTACCTTATTAATGTTTACAAAAGTTAAAGATTAAAAGTTTTGTGCAGTGAAATGGAAATACACCTTGTTGCTTCTTTTACCTTTTGTACCTTACCTTATTTTTTTTCTCTCTTTGCAAGTAATAGGAAAGGAAGAAGATGCTGGGGAAAAATCTAGAGAAAAAATTATAGTTCCTTCAAGAGAAGAAACAAAGGAGCCTAAAAATTACATACTTTTACTGCTTCTCTTCTAGAAATGTTGCGGGAATATACTGTATATTTTCTTGTCTTCCAGCAACTGTACGCAGCTCAGCTGGCTAGCATGCAAGTTTCTCCTGGAGCCAAGATGCCGTCTACTCCACAGCCACCAAATACCACAGGGGCACTCTCACCCACTGGCATGAAGAATGAGAAGAGAGGGACCAGCCCCGTAACTCAAGTTAAGGTACTTTTCGAGGAAKAAAAAAGTGGGTGTTTGTAAAGGGCAGTGAAACTAAAGGGTCTGTGTAATTGTTTTAGCAGTTGGAAATTCGACCACATGGAAGCTGTTCAGTATTCAAATGAAATGTTCTTTTTTAGTGCTGTATTATCAGTGCAGAGAAAGGAAGAGAAAATATTCGCTTCTTGCTTCCAAAAATATCAGGCATCCCTTTTGCTACCATATGCATCAGTGCAGATTTGTCCCTAAAATGTGATATTCTCAAGTTTTCAGTTTGTAATCTAGCATAAATAGCAGCGTCCATTTCATGGCTTGTTTCAAATTGAACATTTGAATATCTTAAAATATGGTGCTAGTTTACATTGTTAGGGCAAGAGAGATTGTAGATCTTCTAATTATTTTACAAAATCTAAGCTCTACTTTCTCCACAATTTTGGAAAAAGCCTCCCATAAAAATAAAGCACGAATCAGGACTCCGGGGAAAACCCTRTGTCGGAGCAGCTCGATTTGACTCCTGCTGATGCCGTGGAGCTGCTGACAAGCAGGCGGCTCCGTGCGGGTTCTGTGCCCTTGCCGAGTGCTCGTGCCCACTCACACCCACTGCTTGGGAGCAGACGGTCACGACATGGCCACTGCCGGCAGCTCGAGAGCCAAGCCAGGTACCCCTCGAAACCCTTTGGGGGAACTGGCSTGCTTTATTGCTGTGCTTTCCTGAGATCGGTCTGAATGTCAGGAGAGCAAAGAAAGAGAAAAAAAACAATTTAATTCAAACTATTAAGTTCCTATTGGGGAGAGAAAAAAAGCATGCAGATACTTGATCATTTTGAATGATAGTGCTATAGATGTAGAAATATTGAAATAGATCTAAGGAATGTATATAGTGACTTTCTGTAGAGAGAGAATATATTCTTGGTAATTGCTAAAATGCTCTAGGCACATGGGTCTTAGTCTCACAACAGCCAGGAAAGGTTTTCCTCACTTGAGTTGAGGGTTCTTTTTTCATTTTTTGACATGAGAGTAAAATATCATTCGTTTTTTCATTATCATCAATCATTGTGGTAAAGTGTGGGTGAGCAGATATTTCTGCCCAAGCTGATAAATTTCCATGACACTTTTTTGCTAGGCTGAGAGTACTAATAAATAAAAACTAGTCCATTATGGCCAGATCTAACATTTGTTTAGCAAAGCATTCACTTTACTTAACTGTAGATATGTATTAGTCTAATATTTTACCTCTTGTAATCCAATGCCAAGCTTGCGAGCAGTCAGTGAAATGCTCCACATATGCAGAGCTTGTTATGGTCAATACAGAAGCCACCAAAAGCAAAGGCCAACTGTTTCAGCAGAGTTGCCCTAGTACAGCGATACCTAACACCAATGATTGATGATATTGAGAATATACTACTGACTACTTTAATGTGAAAAAGTAATTTCATATGCAGTGAGCCAAATGGATCTACACCAAACCAAACCTTTACAGTATGAGTAAAATTTTCCCTGGTTAAATTTAAGCACGTATCTCCTTGAACCAAGGCCAATACCATTCCAGCTTTGTGGCCAGCTGAGACCTATTACTGACTTGACCACATGCAAATTCTTGGGGATTTCCCCACATAATGTGACTTGAATGGACTGAAATATATGTTAATAAAAAAGAAGCTTTTTTATACTCAGTTTATTAAGCACACTATTACATCGAAAGTATTTAAAGTAAATTGAGAGTGCTTAATGTAGACAAATATCAATAGATAACAAAAATACATATAGTACTCTAATAAACTAGAATTTGTTTACTGTCTTTGCAAATACTACTACTCTGGCAGAACATGGCAATTTTGGTGGTCATGTATTGTTTAATAACCCTCTGTGTATTTTGTGTATTTGAACAGTCATCTGTATGTAACTCTACAATACTATGTTCATTATTTATAGAATTACTGGGGTACTTTTACAGGATTCAGATCTTTCAAAAAAATAATGATAGGTTTTTCAAGTCTGCGACCAGAATGCTTTCCAGCTTTTCAGTGGCTTTGCAGAAAAGAGAACGCTGTCTATGAAGAACAAGCAAACAGGTTCTGGCAGTGGTCAGAGTTCTCTTCCCACGGTGGTACTATCAGTACTGYCAGGCGAAAAAGGATCTAGAAATTGGAGTCGGTAGCGCGGGTTTGTATGTGCAAGTGCTCACAGGCCCCCCTCCTGCAAACATCGTGGTGCAGAAGGAGCCCTGAGCTCTCACAAAACGTCACTCAAGTCGGTCGCTGTCTGTGCAGGGAAGCGGCAGCGAGCGACACGGCCRCGATGCAGCAGTGGGCACCGTGTGCCTGACCCTGCGGGGCGAGCCAGGGGCACCTGGGTGCTCCTGCTTGCGCCTGGCCTCTGCACGCATGTGGGCATCTGTGCCCTGCAAGGTCAGGGAGAGTGGCGTGCTGCTTGAGGGAGAAAAGTGAAACTGGAAATACGTTGGCAGTATGAGTACCTGTTTGTTACATGCAGCAGTTTAATGCATCGTACACGATTACATGCATGTTGCTAAATCGCCACTTGATGGTAARGAGAATGGAAAGGGTGAACTAATATAGTGTATTATTGTATTCTGTCATATATTTCTAAGCTTCGAATTGATCAGTGCTGTGTTTTTAAAATATAGACTGTATTCTCCTTTAGCCAACATATTTCTGCCTTGGGTGTTTTAAATGAGACATCTCTGTCTTTCTGGGCTCTTTAATGACAGAAAAATAGCTGTTTCATAGTCTATCAAATTCTCTGTCGTGCTGATTACTAGCAAGTTGTGCAAAAGGGACAAGCCCACAGAATGGGAAGGACGTTACTTTGTGAATATTCTCCCTCATCAAAAAATTAATTGTTTGAATGGGATTTCTTCCAAAAGTTAAGTCATTTCTCAAAACAAATTTAGTATTTTATTGCACTGAGACAAAATATGTGTCAAAGAGAGAGTTTCTTCCCTAATTACTTGCATGTAAAATGTATCAAAATATGTAAATATGCTGACATTGGATTTACATATCCTTATGAAATATTTCTTGTCTTTATGAAAATAAACATACAGATACAGTAAAGATTGAATGCGGCAGAAATAATTACAGAATACAGAAATAATTGCAAAAGCATAGAACAGTCATGAAGCAGAAATGCATCTGCTCAAAATACATGACATACTCAAAGAATAAAATATTGTAAAATAAACAGCATTAAATAGTATAAACAGAAGTATATTTTAAAATACGTACAATATGAATTGATCAATGTAGTAGCTCAAGGAATTCAAATTCACTTATCTTCCATTATGGGGAAACAGCATAAACAAAACATGCACTCAAAATGAGATATATGGAATGTATAAGTTAGTAGCAACTTTAAATGTGGGCCAAAGAACTGTCATGGGTCTCCAAATGTTTCTTTCATAAAAGTACTTATGATTAGTTTCTAATACATTTAAAAATAAGCTACATAACTTATTTTTATAGTGCCAGGAACTTTTCAAACAGAACCAATGCAAAAGCATTACTGAGCTGCTGGAAATTTTAAATAATTCTTTGTAAATGCCCTAGGTTAATTTAGATCTCTGAAAACACATTAGGAAATTAAGCTGTAATGTGAGCTAATTCAAATTTTAATTTGGCAAAAAGAACGATCCAGCCACATAGTTAATGTAAATAGAAGCATAACACAGAGAAATTAATGAGGTTTCCTTTCGTTCAGTCTTAACGGAGGCAGATAATTAGCTTCTTTTGTTATTACTGCAGGAGAATGTGATATTGTCTTGAAGGTGTAAAATAACTGCAGCCTGCAAAATGATGTGTTCATTTGTCTTTTTCTAATAATTATTTACATTAAACTCTTGCAGGATGAAGCAGCCCAGCCACTGAATCTTTCAGCCCGACCCAAAACAGCTGAACCTGTCAAATCCCCAACATCTCCAACACAGAACCTMTTTCCAGCCAGCAAAAGCAGTCCGGTGACTGTGACAAGCAAGAGTGGCATCCCCAGTCCCCTCAGTGGAACCCTGGGAAGAGGATCCTCTCTAGGTAAATCTCTCATGGGGAGAGGAGAAGCTGGTGCTTTTTCTATGTGGAAAATCTCAGCCTGAAAACACACGCAACATCTATATCTACAAGTGCATATCCGGGCCTGTATTTCTGTTTAAAATGAAAACAAAAATCACAAAAGATTGTCAAATACCTCTTGTATTCCAGGGACGTGCAGAAGTAATCAAAATGATGCAATAGTGATATTTATCTATAGGAAATATAGTAAATGAATGTACAATATAAGAAATATGTCTGTATACRTATGCATAAGTATATAAGGCAACTAAAAGTGTATAAACGTTTATGTGTCTTCTTTCCAAAACTAAAAAATTAGGTGCAACGTGTTAAGTTGTCTTTTCAATTTTGACCAGTGGATTAGGCAAGCAGAAAAATAGCTTTGCATGCAGARCCTGCTTAGGTAGAAATACACAGGTGATGGCCCAGGTGAATAATTCAGTCTACTGGGACAGTGCACATAGTTCACATCAAGTGTATTTTAAACATTTTTTTGAACCAAGGCAACGAAACATTCAGTTTTACTTAAAGTAAAACATATATTAGACAAGAACGTAACTCCAAATATAGTTTTCAGCTGTTTAGCTGAGATATAGTATTAGTTTTATCCATAACTACATTCTTAAAGAGGCATAATTCTCAGCATTCTGAGTATGTCTGTGTATATATATATATAGAGAGAGAGAGAGATTCTCACACACACACACACATTCATACATTATATTCACATATATTCATACATACTTTTTTTTAAGAGGATCATATTGTTTTTTTTTTTAATAAAGACAAAAAAGCTTCAGTCCAGCTAATTCTTATTCTATTATAATTTCTTCATATATCTGATGTTTTCATATATAATTCAGATAGTTGCAAGTTGGAAATTTCTGATTCATGCTTAAGACTGTTTATTTAAGATATAAAACTTATTAAACAATATCAGAAAATGATGTATGAAGACTACCTTAACTAGTCAAGAAAGAAACAAGAACTCTAAAATTTAGATGATCACAGTCCTAAAGATCAAATAGTAAATTTTAACGGTTACTAAATACTTACTACAAACCACTTATTCACAATCTGTAGCTCAAGTGTACTTGTAAATATATAGAAACACTTGTGAATAATGAACAGATTTATTAAATATATAAAAAATTACAATTTGTTCCATTCTCAAAACACTTSGGAACATCATGATCGGTAAAAGTTTCTTCAAGTAAATAGATATTCTACCTGTCAGTTTATTTCTCGCTAAAACTACAGTAGCTAACATTAGAAAACAGCACATCAGTTTTAGCTGAAAGACCATTCTAGTGAGATAGACAATGTAGAATTAGGATGTGAGTATTTTTAATGTAAAAATATAAAACTCTTCCTCTTGTTTCTAAAGCATAGAAGAAGCTTGGGAAAATATTGCCAAAAAATCAACAAGAAAATTGGAAGCTTCTGCTTCATTTTTGGATAAATTGAGGTGATAGGGAGTCAAAATCTCATTAAAAGTCAGAATAACTCAGGTCCAAAAGGAAACTTAAGTAGCTACTTCATGCCCAAGAAGAGCAATTGTTGCTCTCTAACATGAAGTTGCTGAAAAGAAAGCTTTCATTCTGACAGAAAATGTCACATTTCGATCATATCTGTTCTCATCTAGCCTGCAATATTAAATCAGCTACCCTAAATCCTATCATTTTTTTATTTTGAGAGAAATGAGAGTACTTTGAAGTTGAAATTTGCTGTGTATTACCTAGCTGAACTGCATTGGAATGAAAAGAATTGAAGCAAATAAGGAAATTATCTTGAAAAAGAATTCCAGGTCTTAGACTGTTTGCTATTTTTTTGGTGGAGTGTTACTAAGTTCCCAAATCACACCAGAGTTTTTATAAAAAGACATTAGTTTATACTGCAGGATTGATCAAAGTTCGCAGCCAGAAGGAATATCCATAATATGTGTAGATAGATGTGGATATATGGGATATATGTATGTTCACAACTAAATGTTCATCATAGCAACACAAAACTACAGGTCGCCAAGATTTCTTTCTCTTTTGTTCATCTTTTTTCTCTTAAAATTTAAAGGCTGCCCACTTAAGCTTCAGAYTAGTGTTATGTTAAACATATTTAACCATAAACTTTGAGTCCACAGGTCTAGTGCTACCTATCAAATAAATGAATAAATACCTGTGTCAAGGCTTCACTGACTATTTACAACGCAGCAAAATCTGTACATAGGCTTATCAATCGTCACTCTTCCCCCTCCTCCTGCAGAAGTTAGTCAGCTCTTAGTCAATGAGAAGCAGATTTTGATTTGGATGATTGCCTAAATAAAGTGTGTTCTCTGTTTATAGATATCCTTTCCAGTCTTAACTCACCTGCCCTATTTGGGGACCAGGACACAGTAATGAAAGCCATTCAGGAGGCTCGAAAAATGAGAGAACAGATCCAAAGGGAGCAGCAGCAGCAGCAGCCACATGGTGTTGATGGAAAATTGCCCTCCATGAATAACATGGGTCTAAACAACTGCAGGAATGAAAAGGTAATGTCTCCTCCTACTACACTGTCTGTCATTCATTCTTCTTATTTCCCACCAAACAGCTTATTTTTATATAAAATTTCTTTTACAGCTTTTAGCCTTCCCTGATTTTACATTAAATACAGCTTGTCACTTCAGAGTGCTGTGCCACAAACTTCTCTACCTTTACACGACAAGATTGAAAAGATCAGTCCTGTGCGGTGCATATGGTTAAACATGCATATGACAATGTGGAAAAAAAATTGGGTGAAGCTAACATAGTTTGTGGTCATTGGATTTTGAATTGTGCTTTTGAGGATGATTGGACTGACAAATATGACAGAAATTAGAAATAGAATAGAAATTAGAAATAGAAATTGTTTGTCTACTAGTGTGATTGAGCAGTAGTATATCGCTGAATATATATGAGTGTCCTTGATTTTTTTGACTCAGATTCAACAAGATATTTAGACTCAAATCAGTGCTTTTGATTCTTGATTTGAATAGAAAAATATTTTCTTCTGTTGAATATTGGCCRTAGTTTCCTAACAGTACAAAGGAAGTGGAGTTCCATAATAAAGTTGTAAATTAGAAAAAGCATGACCAGCATCGGCCTGTGCAAGAGAGTGTTTGGTTTATGAAATAGCAGGAATGCACACTGAAGGTGAGGAGCAGTTTTTATCACAGACACTGAAGGACAGCACAGAGTTCTCTTGGGGAGCAATTTGTATCCATGCAGTCCTGCGCTGTGGCCATCCCAAGGTCTGGGAGACCTGCTTAGGCAGCAGGTCCCTGTATGTCTGAGCTGCTGAACACTGATTCCTGTAGTTGGCTGAGCTATGAGGCAACTTTTGGATGAAGARTGATCTTCCATTGCCGTCTCTGGGGGTTACTTACACTGCGAAAAATACAGCATACACATTATGTTCTGCCACTGACACAAAACCAGTTATATACCGTGATACTTATTGTACATTCCATACAACTGCAGAGAGAAGTATTTCTGCTAGTGYTAGTTTAAATGACAGCATTTAAAACTCACTTAATACAGATTGATACTATAAAAAACATGGAAATTAATAATTGATCAAGCAGGCCGTAATCAGGCAAAACTCTAATTATAAAGTCAATATGAAGTCCTTAACTAACTGAGAGGTAGGGTACTAAAGCCCAAGTTATAAAAATAAATGAATGTCACTCCTATGATCAGTATTAAGAGTTTATAAAATAATGYTTTTTTAAGATGTGCTTTATGAGTTTCAGTGGCTTGACATTTTAAAATATCCAACTCACTATACGGGCTATTAAAGGAATTTTTAACATTTGATTCAACTTCGCAAAGTAAGTATAGAAATGATACCTGCTTACTTACTGGATCTGCTCCCTGAGTGTTTTCAGTACCACATTCACATCTTGTATTGAATGTTATAAGTTTTAAATGATGACATTTGACACTCTCTATTCTAAATAAAATAATTAATTCAGAGTCATGAATACTAAGGAATGTATTTATATTTTATAGGGCGCATAAAAGGCAGTAAAACAGAAGGATACTTTGTGCAAATAGCATTCTTGAGTATTCTTTCTTCCCTTTTATTCTCCCCTGTTTTAGTTTTTACATTGGTGATACATTCTTTTTCCTCTAAAAATGATGAGCAGGATGATCAAAGTGGAGGGTGAGGAGGGAGACAGATGACTTCAGAAACAAAAACATAATTTTTCAATAATTGTATGCCAGRAAGATGGTGTATAGTTTCTGTCATAATCCCAGTGAAGCTTTGATGACATAGTTGCAATTTTAGATTGGCTTCTTTTGAAGAATCAGGACCCTGTGTTTTCAGAACCAAATTTTCAGAAATTGGCTTCAGGTAATTAGACATATATAAATGAGTGCCTAGAAACCAACACCAGAAAAAAAAAAAAAAAAACACAAATTAATTACCTGCAACTGCTTTAAAAAAAAGCTATTGAGTCCTGGTCAGTGAGTGGTCTTCCAAGTTCAGATAGCTCCTAATAGTTTGTTGTGCAAATGATTATGCTTACAAAATTATGTACATAGCTTCAAAGCCTGAGCTCAGGCCTTTTTGCAAATATGTCATTTAAATCGCTGAACGCTTTGAATTTGGCTAGAGACACAGAATTTAAAATGGCCTGTGTTCGTATTCTGCTGTTCAAAAAAATCTACAAAGCTTTGAAATTGCTTACAGGGCTTCACTCATCAGAAAGAGCAAAACAAAAGCATGCTGGACTCTGGCATAGTCAGACTTCAAGATAAAGCATTCAGGGTTGGCTGTGCTTTTAAGGCAATGCCATGCTATAAACACTGACATGTGTGCTGTTACTGTAGTTCMCGTTTACGGGGCATAGAGCTATTGCAGCGGTGCTGGGTTTTTCTGCTATACCTGGTGCTTATCAAGTGCAAGCAGACTGAGGGAAGGAAAGTGTCAGTGGTTTCAGAGTGTAAAGAGAAACATTGGTGAAGGGCAGGGAATTCAGAAAACTGTATGCAAGCTCAGTTTATGTGGCATGAGCAAAAGCAAGATCGTATGAAGATTGGCTTTTTTTCAGGGGATAGKACTTTTTCCATTCAAACCATGTTTGCCTTCAGCAAAAAGGAGTACATTAAAGTRCTTAGCAGGATTTGCATTATTATACTTGCGTTTGCTTTAGTATTGCAGACTAGGATGACTGCCTTGAAAAGTTGCTTTGATTTAAAGCTTTAAATGAACCTGAAGGTGTGCTGTGTAATTTATATCTAATGTATTGAAAGGGGTCAGATTTCACTGGGGTTATTTTTGTGCATAGAGCATGAATACACTGATAAAAAAAAAAACTTCACAAAATCTTCGTAGAAAAAAAAATACAGATAAAAATGTGTTAGCATGCATTGGAAGAAAATGTGAGGTCAGGACAGAACAAATATCCACTAAATGACTATGTCCAGCATACCTGCTAGACCCAGGGACACCTGGATCCCACCACATTTCCTTACCCACAAAGCATATTTGTTGAGAAACAAGCAAACAGAAATTGATATAAATATTTTACTTTTTATTTGATTCCCACCATTTTTCAGCTGTTTAAGAAGCTGTACATTTGCAGTAGGAAACCAACGTTAGACCCTAAAAATACCGAGTCATCACCTACTTCCTAGAAATTATGGCATATTAATACCTCTTCTATTTTATTCCTTTTTTATTTCTAAATCAGAACTATTACAATTTGAATCAACACCATCTATCCTGACGTAGACTACTGCTTGTTTGCAAAATGTGGGCATCCTTAAAAACATACATTATTTACCCTTGGAGATGTTACAGTCTATTGATCAAATCCATATCTAGGCACTTGGCTTTGACTTGATAAGCCGTAACAGCCCCTTCGGAGGTGTTATGGTCTGCTGTATTTAGGGACTGTTACATATATGGATTATTGACACAACAGAGTGTAACAGCTCCTCCGGAGCTGCTACGCTCCATCGTTTATAGGAGGGGACTGCACAGGCGTGCAAACTTGGCCTGATAAAAACACTTTGGGAAGTCTTTGTCCAACAAGTTACTAGTCATGCGTAATCTCTTGACTGCCCGCAGACTGCAAATACTCTCTCATCATATTACTTTTTTTGCTAAATGCAAGAACTGGATTATGTTGCCAGCATTTCTTACCAGCTTGTCTCTCCTTCTATATTTAATATTGTAGATAGAGCTACTGCAGAAGCAGGAGACACAGTATCTTTTCTGCAAGTCCAGAATCCCTGAGAAGCACCTGCTCTCCTTTTAACTAGTCCTTGCTCAACTCAGTTAAGAGAAAACAAAACAAAACACACAGTGAAAAAAAAATACCTTTTCTACAGTTGATTAACCTTTTAGTGAAGATACTTAGGATTATTCTTAAATTTTGAAAGCCTTGTCTTTTTTTTTTTTTTTTTTTTTATAAATCATTATTTATAAGTGGTGTAGATATGCAAGAACCAATCTGTTGTCATTTACTTTTTAAAAATCTTTCTATGGACTCTTTTTTCCCTTTTAGTTATTTGTATAATAATTGTTAGCTCTAGCTAGTAAATAAGAGGTCAATACTTACATTTCACTCTATTGAAAAACAGACAACAGAAACTGTAAGCATATTCAATTAAATCATTACTTCTGTTGGTTAATTCTTAATTCCACTTGTAATTAAAGGGCAAAAACCTTACAGTCAGGCGAAATAAATGAATAGCAGTATCAGTAGCAAATAAGTAGTTACTTTTATTATGTATTGTTTTGAGAGTCTTTGTTCTTATCTGTACTTTAAAAATCAGGGAAAAAGTAGAGAAAAAAAACTCCACAATTTAAAGAAAGTCCCTCCCTAGGTAGTTTATATCTATGTTTAATTTTAATTTCCACTTGAATACATATTTCTAAATTCTATAATAGAAAAACTGAAACTGTATAGAGAGGCGGAAAAAGGGACACTGATTTAGTTAAGGAACTGCTAGTGTGTTCTCACTTTCTTGCAAGAATATAGGCAATTTATTCAACTCAGTGGGTGTGGACTCCATCTGTCTAATGAAGAACCTGATTTCCACAAAGAGACACTGCAGCTGGGAAACTGTTTTCCCCGAGTGGAGCATCGGTTCAGCCGACGTATCCTCCCCTGGGGCGGCCCTCAGAGCTCGAGGGCCTCCGCTCCCTACCCACAGAGACCCCTGTGCAGCCCCATGGCTTTACAACAGTCCAATGGCTCTGGAAAGTTAAATGCCCCAACACTGGGAAACCTTTAAAATACAAATCCCTGCGGTCCTCATAATTCTTAAATCACAAATGTCCTTTATAGTAAATATGGCCAGTTTAGGCTAAGGTGCTTGTAGCTGTAAGTAACTTGTAAGGGAAGGTTTTTTTTATGTTGGATGTTTAAATTTAACTTCATAAGGCCATATTTGGGCACTTGAATATAAGTTTCCTAATTTAAAATTACATTGATACCCAGTATTTCTGCTGAAAGCCTATTTATTGGTCTGTGCTTTGAAATCTGTTAATATAACG